TTCCGAGACTGTAGAAAGCCTCATCTTTCCTCCCCGCAGAGTAGCTCGTAGTTTCACGGTTAGTAACCCAATGCTGAACCGTTCCCCTCTGTGACACATGAGGTCTCCGGGAACCGGATCAACCCCACCCGCACTCCTGGTGGTGGTGGTGGGGTGGGGTGTCGTCTAGGAGGTGAAAAGGGGGGAGACCGAAGGTAACATGGGTCCTGTAGACACCAGCGTGTTAAGATTATTTTTGGAACCCACCTAGCAAAGTGATTCCAACCCTGGCACTTGGATCTGGTTGTCACCGCCTCCTGCTTCTGGCTCTCTGTACTTTTACGGCGGCATTCTCTCGGGGCACCGCTCCTCCGCGGCTCAGGTGCTGACCTGTCGCCAGGAGGCGAGGCGGCCAAGCCCTTCGGTGGGGCCGGGCGGAGGTGAGGGGGGCTCCCTGCACCCGGGACTCCCCTTCCCTTCCGGCCCGCCCCTAGGCGTCCCTTTCCGCGGGTGTTCAGCGCCTGCAGCCGCCGCCAGCTGCGCGCCTTCTTCCGCAAGGGGGGCGGCGCGTGCCTCTCGGACGCCCCGGCCGAGCAGCCGGCGCGCTGCGGGAACGGCTTGGTGGAGGTGGGCGAGGAGTGCGACTGCGGCGCCTTGCAGGTGAGATCCCCGGGCCCGCCCCCGCGACTCTAAGGCTGGCCCGCCCTCCCGGCCCGGGAGGCCTGGACTGCGCCCTGACCCGGGATCTCCTCGCCTCGGTGCCCAGGAGTGCCCGGACCCCTGCTGCCTGGCTCACAACTGCTCGCTGCGCGCCGGGGCCCAGTGCGCCCGCGGGGACTGCTGCGCGCGCTGCCTGGTGAGGCCGAGGGAAGGCCGGGGTGCGCGCTGAGGGCCCGAGCGCTCGGTCCTCCGCTGACTGCGCCGGCCCGCTCAGAGCCCTGGCCTGTCCTCGGGGCCGTGCGTTCGGCCCGAATCTCTCATCGAGGTCTCTGGGCCCCGCTCGGTCTCCCTCTCCACTTCTGCCTCCCTCCCTCACCCCTGTCACCGCGCAGCTGAAGCCGGCGGGCGAGCTGTGCCGCCAGGCGGCCGGCGACTGTGACCTCCCCGAGTTCTGCACGGGCGCCTCCCCGCACTGTCCCCCGGACGTTTACGTGCTGGACGGCTGGCCCTGTGCCCGGGGCCGCGGCTACTGTCGGGACGGCGCGTGCCCCACGCTCGAACAGCAGTGCCAGCAGTTCTGGGGGCCTGGTGAGCGGACTTGCCCGCCTCTGCCACCCCAGTTCCCATCCTCCGATCGGCTCGGGGTTCGTCTTTGGATGGGTGGGCGCGGAGGTCACTGAGGCCCGCGGGGCGTGGTCCCTGCCTGGGCTGCCTTCATCCTCACTCACGTTTCCCCAGGCGCTCGCCCGGCGCCGGAGGCCTGCTTCCAGGTAGTGAACTCCGCCGGAGACGCCCACGGGCACTGTGGCCAGGACAGCCAGGGCCGCTTTGTGCCTTGCGCCCAGAGGTGGGTACTTGGGCACAGTAGGGGCAGAGGCAGCAGGAGCTGGAGGTGGGTTGGCGGAAGGGCGACAAGACAGGTCGTGCTTTTTGGTCGCCTTCCACGGGTCCCCAGGGATGCAAAGTGCGGGAAGCTTCAGTGCCAAGGCGGCGAGCAGGGCCCCCGCGTGCCCGACACCCTGCCTGTGGACTCCACCGTCAGCGTCGATGGCCAGAACGTGACCTGTAGAGGAGCTTCGGCGCTCCTGCCGGGCCGGCTGGACCTGCTTGACTTGGGATTAGTAGATATGGGCACCCAGTGTGGACCTCGAATGGTGAGTCCTGCTCACCTGACCCCTCTCTGTCACTGGACCCCCTTCGGCAGACCCAGTGCCACCACCTCACTGCCCAGGGCGCACATGGCCCATAGGTGTGCCAGGACCGGCGCTGTCAGAATGCCACCTTCCAGGAGTTGGCGCACTGCCTGGCCGCGTGCCACGCCCATGGGGTGAGTAGCCTGTGAGGGAGGGAACTTGGAGTCCCCTGATGCCACCTGACCCTCCCCTTCCTCCCCGCTCTCCCTTCTGCAGGTTTGCAATAGCAACTACAACTGCCACTGTGCCTCAGGCTGGGCACCCCCCTCCTGCGACCAGCCCGGGTTGGGAGGCAGTATAGACAGCGGCCCAGTGCCACGGGAAAGTGAGAGGATGGGGCAGGGGGGCAGGGATTGGGCGGTGCGTCTGCGCAGGACTCAGGTCCACGCTGTTCTCCGTAGAACACGAAGCCTTCCTGCTGGCCACCGTCCTCAGCTTCCTGCTGCCTCTGCTGCCCGGGGCCGGCCTGGCCTGGTGCTGCTACCGCTGCCCCCGGTCCTGTCTCCAGCAGCACCCCCGGGGCTCGAGGAGGCGTCCTGCGTGCAGTGGGTAGGCTCTCAGAGCCCTTCCCTGGGATTCTTGCCCCTCAGAAACTGGAGGGCTGGCTGGGACCTCGGGCAAGGGGCCCAGGCCTTGCCGTGGGTCTTCAAAGCCATCAAGCCAACAAGCCGACTCAGAGCACAAGGGCCCAGGGGCCTCCACCGCCACAACCGCCTCAGGCCAGGGTCCTCAGCCCCTCCATACTGTGACTCCTCCCTTTGGTTTGCATCTCCTGTTCATGCCACAAGGTGGCGACCCTGTGCTTTGCTTGGTGTCGCCAACAGCTCCTAAAGCAGTCGGAGCTCCGTGCCTTCAAGGCCTCTCCAGCCTCTGCCTGTGCCAGTTTCCTGCCTTCTGCCTTCCTCTGCCTAATTCTCCTCAGCTCCCCACTTCAGCTCCCCTGCCTATCCTTTCACTCTGCACCACTGGTCAGCTCTACTGCCCACCCCTCGTTCAGTCCTCTGTGACCTGGCTGAGGGCCACATGATGCCAAGCACGGCTGACCTAAGGCTGGCACCGGGGCAAGGCAGGCTCCTCAATTCAGACATGCCTTGGGGTGCTCTGGGTAAGCTGTGGGAGGGCAGAGTGTGGGCTGGAGAAGGGACAGAAAACATCGAACAGAGGGGCAGGGCACTAACCGGGCCTTGGCATGATGACGCGTGATTGCAGGCCACGTAAAGCTGGCTTGGCCTCATCAAGGGTGGCAGTGCCCAGCCACCACTGGGAGTGGGGTGGGGTCTGAGCAATGCCAGTGTCAAGCCGGGGCAGGCGACCCTGGGAGGGAACCTAGGACTCCTCGCAGGAGGACACATGCAAGAAGGGGACCAGAGAGGGTGTCAACCCAGTCAGAGCCAAGGAGTGCCCTGCCCCTGACTGGGGAAGTATTCTGCTCAGTCACTGTTCCAACCTCCTGGCCTCCTCTCCTGCTATGCAGACCCAAAGTAGGTCCCAGCAGGGACCACCCCCTGGGCAGCAGTCTTTCCATGGAGCTGAATCCAGTAGCCACTGAAGTGCCTGGGGCCCCTGGGTGAGTGGGGCCCCTGTGGGAGAGGGGGAAGGGGTGGGCTCTTGCTTTTGTTTCCAGAAGGACCCCTCCTAACCTAACACCAGCCACCTTGAATACCCTGGGCCCCACCTTGAAACAGGGAGCCCTGCTTATTGTAGTCATAGTGCCTCCCCTACCTCCCCTGCTCCCCAGACCTGATAATTCTGCTGGAGCCCAGCAGCTAACCTGAGAAGCCTGCACCCTCAAAGTAGGTGCGGACCCTGATGTGGGACCCTCTCCCTCTCATTGCTCACCTCCCCCTCCTGGGCTCCATAGCTCACTGCTTCCCTGCTTGGAGGCTTATGGAAACGAGTGTTGGAGAAGCGCTGGTCTTGGGGTGGCATGCTGGAAGCCCCTGGGGGTGAGGCAGGGAGAAGCTCTGGCTCTTGGGCCACCCAATCCTCATGGAGGGAGGACAGGGGTGGGGTGGGGTGTCCCTGTTTCAGGGCCCAGCTCCTTTCTTCATTTGTATCTCAGCATTCCAGGAGCCAAGACTCTGTCTCTGGTGAGAGGTGGCTTCTGATTAGAGGAGACTTAAAACCAGGAGGCCTCTGGCACTCATTCCAAGAACCTGGACCCCCTCCTCTGCCAGAGCATTGCCAAGGCATCATCTGACTTCCTGCACTTCCAGACAACCAAAATCACCCCCCGCCCCCCCACCAAAGAGCCGCCCTCCCCATCCACTGCAGGACGGGGAACATGGTCGGAAGTTGCTTTATGGTGTCTCTCCCCACCCTTAGGGCTGGGGGACTCTGCCAGGGTACCCCCTCCTGCTCAAGAATGTGCCAGTTCAAGGAGGGAATGCCCCATAGTCACCAGCCTACCTTGGCAGGAGAGTCTGGGCCATGCTGGACACCCAGAGACCACAGCCTTGCTACCCTGGTGTGTCCAATCTATGCACCGCACCCAGACCCCTGCTCTGTGGGGGGTGATGGCTGCTGGGCCAGAAGCTGGGACTTCGGGTCCTGTCTTACAATTCTGGGCCTGTACTACCCCGCATATGAACAAAAGAACAAATACTTTGGGATCTGCCCTCCTGCCCACTCCTGACTGGTCTTGTCCTCCTCGATACTTCTTGAGCCCCTACTTGAGGTTTTGTGTGTGTGCGTGTGTGTGTGTGTGTGTGTGTGTGTGTGTGTGTGTGTGTGTGCGCGCGTGTGTGTGTGTGTGCCACAGCCCCCTCACTGTGGATCTTACTCAATTCCTTTCTGTTCTCTGGGAGAGGACTGATGAAGCCAGCCATTTCAAAAAGACAATCAAGTTAAAACAAAACCAAAAAGACCTGTTGTCCTTGGAATGCTGTGAGTCTTTTTTATCTGTAAATATAACCCTATGGAGCACCCAGAGAGTCACAGGGGTGGTGGCTGCTGGGTGAAGTCCCAGATGGCAGCCAGGATGCCTCGCATACATCTGAGCTCAGGATTATGCTACTTAGTCACATAACCCTTTGGCCCACGCTCACCTCTAGGACGTTCTCACAAGCCACTCAACGTCCTGGGAGTCATGAAACAGTTGCTGTATCAACCAGCATTTGCTGCATAACAACCCCACCCAAAAACAAAACAAAACTTAGTGGCTTAAAATTACCATCGATTCTATGAATTGAAAAACTAGGTAGAGCCCAGCTAGGTGATAGATTTGGTCTCGGCGAGGCTCACAGGTATGTTTGCAGTTAACTGATGCCAGCTCAGTGAGTCTGCTTCTGGTGTTGGCTGGCTGTTGGTTGGGGTGATGAGGATGAGACACCACATGGCAGCTGGGGAACGTTCCAAGCGACTGAGATTAGGAGCTGCTGGTGGGTTTGAACTGTTAACCTTGGGGGTTATCAACCCAAAGCCTAACCCACAGTGCCACCAGGCTCCCTCTACTATCTCAAAAACTCACTGCCATCGAGTCTTTTCTGACTCATAGCTACCCTATATGACAAAGCAGAACTGCCCCTGTGGCTTTCTGAGACTATGAATACTTAGGAGAGTAGAAAACCTCATCTTTCTCCCATGGAGCTGCTGGTGGTTTTGAACTGCTGACCTGGCAGTTGGCAGCCCACTACACCGTCAAGGCTCCTCTATATATTATGTATGATGCATTTTTCATACACACACACACACACACACACAGTGTACGAAAAAATTCACCACGACCAACTTAAGCTTATTGCTGTGACACAAAAATGATTCAATATTAAAACCCACTGCAATTGAATTGGTTCTGATTCTTAGCAGCCTTATAGGTAAGGGTAGAACTGAAACCATAAGGGTTTGTGAAACCATGCATCTTTACAGGAGGAGCCAGCCACATCTTCCTTCCTCAGAGCACCTGGTGGGTTTGAACAACTGACCTCACAGTCAGCAACCCAGTGCTTATCCCACATAGCCATAGAGCTCCTGGGTATGAGAAGATCGACAAGATCCTCTAAGGCTGCGGCGATTCTCCTCCTGGACAGTACATTAAGATCACCTGGGGATGGGGGCAGCATTTTCAGACATGCCAGTGCCTGGGCCCAGGAGTTCGGATTCAGCTAGGGCACTGGCTGATTTTGAAGGCTCATTTTGTTCCAGTGTGCAGCCAGGGTGAGGACCCATGCTTGAAGGTTTGAGTGGCAGATAATTTAGAATGTTAACCTATGTGTACCAGAAAGAACACACAAATGTTCATAGCTGTATTCAATAGCTCAAGTTAGAAAATGTCAATGTCCTTCAGGAGGATAGTGGATGACGAATGGGATACTCATGCAGCAGAACGTACGCAGCAAAGAAAAAGGAGTGGCCTATTCTGCAAACATTTCATGAATAAACCTAAAAATAACATTTAAAAAAAGCAGCTGAGCAAAGAGAGCTGTGAAGTGTACCAAACCAAACCAAACTCGCTGCTATCCAGCCAATTCTGACTTATAGAAACCCTCTAGGTGATAGAACTGCCCCTGTGGGTTTCCAAGACTGTCACTCTTTTCAGGGGTAGAAAGCCAAGTCTTTCCCCTCGGAGCAGCTGGTGGTTTTGAACTGCTGATCTGTGGTTGGCGGCCCAATGTGTAATCACCACACCACCATGGCTCCCTGTGAAATGTACACTAAGCCACTTAAATGAACTTTAATAAAAACCAACCCCATTGTCATTGAGTTGGTCTCAACTCAATAGCAATCCCAATAAAACTGCGCTGTAGGGGTTCCAAGGCTACAATTGTTTAGAAGAGCATTATAGAGATATAATTTACATATCATATAATTCAGTGGTTTAATCATATTAAAAAGAGCTGTGCAACCACCAACATATTCCATTTTAGAACATTTTCTTCTTACCTGTACTCATCATAATTAACTCCCCATTCACCCCCAACCTCCCCATCCATAACCCTAAGAAACTATTAATCCACTTGCTGTCTCTAGAGGTTTACTATCCTGGATTCCATACACAGAAAAGCATACCAAAACAAAAAACAAGCAAGCCCCAAACAAAACTCAACAACCATAACAAAATAAAACAGAGAAAAACCTCAATTGAAAAGAAAAATGAAAAAACAGAATTAATTTAATATGGGGCAAAAAGGAGAAAAATGATATGGTGTAAAATTTTAACCTAACTACATCTGCATTAATCCACTTTCCAATATACTCTGATAGCAAGGCTATTCACATCCCTGGTCAATGGTCAAAGGGGCTTTACTGGACACTTAATCCATATGGAGACCCTGAAAATGGGTTTGGGGTTTCTACTGTCGTCCATAACCTTCTGCAAACTGGATACTTGGAATTTCAGCTCTAATACTGTTCCCTCTTCCATTCTTGGATTTTGGCTGCTTCTTCCATGTGGACTTAGTAGTTATACACCTCACTTAGATGGCTGTTTGTTTTAAGACAAGCCTTTAAGATCCCAGGTGCTGTCCTTTCTGATAGCTGGGCACCATCTAATTTCTTTGCCACACTTTGCTATAGCACCCATATTTTCAGTCTCATGAAGATCTCTTCACAAGGGACAAAATATCAAGTAGGGTCATGCCATAAGAACACATTGTTCTTAGGTGAGGCTATGATTAAAGGCGAGCTCAAATCCATTATCTATGGTCTGTATGTGCTCCTGGTTCGCTTTAGAGACATCATTATTATTTTATTGGGGGAGCATTATAAATATTCCCCATGGCCATATGTTAATTCTGTAGATAGTATCATTCATTTATCAAGACTGTGATTCTTATGAAAGCAGACGGTCACATCCTTCTCTGGTGGAGTAGCTGGTGGGTTTGAACTAACAATCTTCCAAGTACCAGCCAACCACTTAAATCACTACATTACCAGAGTATATGGACTCCACATATGCAAAACAAGATGTATTATTTAGGCATATGTACACACACGTGAAAACACACAGAAAAGGATTAATGGGGAAGTAGAAAAGTACTGGCGGTAGTCAAAAGAATTGTCAAGGGGCATAGGAATCTTCAACTCTATAATGGTTTGTTTATTTTTTTTATCATTTTATTAGGGGCTCATACAACTCTTATCACGGTCCATACACACATCAATTGTGTAAAGCGCATTTGTACATTCATTGCACTCATCATTCTCAAAACATTTGCTCTCTACTTAAACCCCCGGCATTAGGTCCTCATTTT